CTTGGCACGGTGGGTGCTATCAGAAGACAGCGAACAGAAATTTTCGAATGTATCGTTGCCCAGCGAGTTTTGATGGACATCTTCTTTCGTGCGTGATTTCCCTCTTATGGCCGCCGTGCTTGTAACCCTCTTTTTGTTTTCAGGATTGGGGCTTACGTATTTCCTGTGCGCCATCCATGATCCTGCTTGAATGACGAGTTAATGGGGGTCAGACTGTTTCTGCGCGGCCGGAAGCCGCCTCACCGCTCTACTTTCTCTCGTGGGTATTTGGTGCAGGACATCCCCTGGGAATGCTCTACCGGCGATGAACATGCATTGGACGTAGAGGGTACATATCGTCCACGTATTAATTTCCATCATTCATGCGGCCAATTCTAATATCCCGCTTCTGGTTCCGCGCATGTCGTCTCTACGCTCAATATGCATGCTATATCTCACACCTTTGAAACACGTGGATGCGTCCTACTTTACCCTGGACGAACGCAGCGACGGCCGCGGATGAGTATATACTTTAATAGAACATCCAGAGCGAGCTCACGCATCGCACCATCTTCCTCGTCAAAACTCGAGATGATTGGTTCGAAGCCGGGTCTGCGGGCGCACGTCGTGGTCGTCTCTTTGGCTCCCTTTTCCTCAAGTTGTCGTTGAAGCTGTGTGATCCGCTCGGTCTCGTCGCGTGCAATATGGATTATATCGATGACCACCTCGAAGGAGTGCTTGGACGCAGAAGCGTCACGATCCGGTGACAGGAGATGAACTAGCGCGAAAGCCGGGGGAAGAGGTGGCGACAGTCGAAGATGAGTGTGGGAGATGGGATCTTCCAGAGAATATTCTGATGCCGCGGCATATGGGCCCGATGCACTTGTGATCGCGAACGTGAACGTCCCATCACGCCCCCGGCACCGAGTAGCGGCGAGGCAGACCTGATCAATGATGCATAATTAATGATTAATGACTTTCAATAGCTCTCGTCCGGCCACGCGTCCAAGGCCGAGCGCGCCCTCCGCTTGCTGCTTGCTGCTGTTGGTCGGATCCAATGCGAGGACACGCGTCTCGAACCACTAATATCAACAAGGACCGAACAAGGGACCACACGTTGTCCGCCGGGGGGTGCAGTATGGGAGATAAATGAGTGTGCCAATAATGGGCATGCCTCTCTCTTCGTCGCTTCCTAGACTTCTGATGTGACGTTGTTCCAGCATTCTTACCAGCGAGGGCAGCCTGAAAGAGAGGGGACCAAGGTAGCGGCAGAGAACACATGAAATGCATCCGAACACGGAAACGCGGTAGCCCATGGAGCATGAGAATGGAGTGGACTCACTAGTCGGAAATGAAGTTGCGGGCACCGTCCCAGCCATTTCCTGGGCACGGTACGGTGTACCACCACTAGTAGGAGGGCGCCTCGCCGAGAACATAGCCACGAGCGCAACAGTCAGTCGGATGAATTGGGCTAGCAGCAACTCACCGCCCGGGTTACTGGGACAATGAAAAAAGATATAGATTATCTCGAAGACACTGCATCCGCGTAGCCCAATATCGCCAATTAGGGATGATTATCGATTCCCCCCTAGCCTGTGTCCCCAGATAGTTATGTGGATTTGCACAAGTATCGGCAGAATTCCGTCCGCGTGTGCCCTGCAACCCAGCCCTCAGAGCAGAGCAGCCGGCTCTCCGTGGGACCTATCAACACCGAATTGTCTGGCTCGTATCAGAATGGGGACAAGGCAATGAAAAATTGGAGACCACTGTGTCTGCGAAGCCTATGCATATTGTCCCACTCGGCCTTTCTCGCGCCGGGACGCCGTGGCCTCGTGATCAGTACCAACGTACTCCAGAATAACATCCCAAGGTGGTCTCGTATTCAATGAAGATTCCCGCTACCCTTTGGGTAGTGGGTCTTATAGCATGATCAGAAACTGATTGTCTGCAATCGCCTGAAAAATTTGTCAATTCTCCACTTTGCACTACTTATTCCCAATGCTGATTCTTCATGTGAGTGTGCTGCTGAGTCAGTTTGTTTCCTTCAGGCAAGTGACAGTCCCTCCCTCCCTGGCTTGTCCCGATTTTAACCCCTGTCTGTTCTTCAGTGTTCTAACAGCACAGGATGATATGTCAATATACATATTTCACTAGGAAGCATCTCGAACACATTGGGAAACTTCGCCTCTTTAATTTGTCTGAATGATTGAAGTGAGGCAATTGTCATTGTTTGCATCGGGTCGCAATAATTGTCTGCTGCTAGTAATCCAATATTATACAGTAACTTTTCTTTGTGCTACTTACTTTCTGATTAACGAGCTATCCTTTTTGTTGTAAACACATTTTACTACTTCACATTAATTAATTCAAAGACGTGATATTTTACAACGCGTCCAAGATGCGTCCTAGTGAAATATACATTGACATATCATTCCAAACTAAAGTTACTCTCAGGTAGCGGGTCCTGCCGGCAGCATGCCGGCCCTACAAGCTTGTTACTGTAAACTTGGATTCTTTACGGTCTGTGGAGTGCGTACGGGCCTTGTAGGTCTGTTGGTCTCCGGGCTGCTCTCTGGCCCTTCGCAGACACAGGGGAAACAAAGTCGCACATGGAAGAAGCTCGAAAAGAACATGCCGCAGCATGAATCCCATATGGCCGCAGACCCTCGCGGGCAGGACAATGTGCCATCCGCTGGGCGGTAGATCGTGCTGTGCATGCCACTACAGCAGCGCAGTGCGAAAGGGATGGCCCACGAAAAATGCACCGTGTTTCACATACATCCTCTGTGGTATCTGTGTATCAACGACACGACCAATCGACTTGTGCATAGCGGGTGCTATTCATCTGCCGCCACTCGTTCAGGGAAACACCAGGAGATGCGTCCCTAGCACCCGAAGATCCGAAGGGGCATGCGGAACGGGGAAGCACAGGTATAGATGACGAGTGCACGCCTGAGATGAAAATCAGCTGTACAAAGGGTGTAGTCGAATCTAGTTACGGAGCAGGCGACACACGCTGAACGCTCATTGGTCCCAGGTGTCGCCCTGCATTGATGCACGAAATGGAAGACAGGTGGGAAAGCAGATGACCATCGCCTTGCAGGGACAGTCTGGCTGCCGGCGCGCCACAACCCTTCATCATTGCCTGGGCATGACGAGAGACTGTGAGTGGCGCGGATGTCGGAGTAGGGACGAGCGCGACAGAAAGATGTTTAGAAGTATACTTAATAGCCACATGCGCGCAGTCGCAGTCGCTACAGACCGCGGTGGACATGGCGGCCGTGCTTCGAAGGGCACTACTTCCATCTGATAGAACCAGAGCCAGCGCCCGTGGAAGGATGCGGCGCAAGGTTGGGTCAAAAGTACAGTCTCTCCCGCCTTATCGCCGCATATGCCGTGTTGAGTCGATAAGGGTGGGAGCACGCCGTGGTCTACTCATGCCCCCCGACGGGTGCAACAGAGCGAAGGGACTCAGGTCGTGTGGCGGCCACGAGCGCAGGATTGCCAGAGCGCCTATACAGCGCCTCGAGCAGGAACGGTGCTGACGACCGTACGCCATGATGGGATGCTTGCAGAACAGTAACTGTCTCCAGCATTAGAAAAAGCGCTTGGATAGACGTGGCCGCTCTATCCGTCGAGGTAACTAGCACAGCTACAAGCGGGCTTGGATGTTTTGAGGAAAAGTCGATAGGTGCATGGGGAAGGTGAGCAACCGCAATCTGTTGATCTATCGAATTGACGCGAGGCTCGTTCTCGATGGTTCTTACGACAATTAATTGGAGCGTATCATCAGGGTATGCGGAAGAGACATCTAAACTCCAAATTCGAACGCGCGAGTGGAGCGTAACCAATCCGAATAGATGGGTGAAACCTGCGGTATGTTCTTAGACTTTGACCTGCCTACACACGCTTGTGTTTGGGCGGCGCCCCAGCCTGGGTATGAGCTGCGATCAGCGGATCTTGTAGGTAGCACTCAAATGTATAGTAAGTTACTGCCAAAGCGAAGCCCACACTATTGTGAGCCAGGCGCCGTCACACGCAGGGTCGATCACCATTACGCGAAGGCGAAGAAGCCGTTTCGGAGGAGAGGTGTACACGTCAGGGAGTGTAGCAGAGGAACGAAAAACCTCGGAGCAGAGCTGGACTCGGAGCAGCGCAGCTGTGGTCGAATAAGAAAGGGATGACGTCGCACGCACTTCGGACCCAGGGTGTCACTGGTTCACCTGGGGCGACTGTCCTCGAACTGTTACTCCATCCACGTTGAGGCAGGCCGCAGGCGTGCGATGCATCTTCTGGCCACGAGCTCCGCTTGAAGTTCGCATCCACAGCGAGAGCTCAGAGGCGTGTAATCAATAGATGCTAAAGATGGATTATCCACCGCGAACGTCGCGCTTACTCGTGGCACTACCGGCACTTCTAGCTCTGGAGGGCGCGGAGAATTGGCGCGGTCGACAATAACAACAGACTTGAGATGAGGACAGTTGACGCTCAGACGGAGGAGCGTAGTGTTTACGGTTTTCGAAGTCGCTTAGGACAGGGAGTGTAATAGAAATGCTAGACAGGACACGTGTCCCATTTAATCTGATAACCGCACGATCAGCATTCAGCTGGATCGGGACTTGGGTCGGGCGTCGAGGAGAGCCGAACGCTGTC